ATACCAGGACACACCGACCCCTCCAAATACCCAAATCCAGGACACACCGACCCCTCCTAATACACCAATACCAGGACACACCGACCCCTCCCAATACACCAATACCAGGACACACCGACCCCTCCTAATACACCAATACCAGGACACACGACCCCTCCCAATACACCAATACCAGGACACACCGACCCCTCCCAATACACCAATACCAGGACACACCGACCTCTAGGACACACCGACCTCTCCTCAGTCCTCCCCCCTATAATGGCCATTACTGAACTATTTGCCTGTACACTCCGGCACACATCCCAGCGGTGAAGCTGCCCCCCAGAGATCTGCACTCGGTATACACCTAGCGGCAGTCGGTGTGATCTCTCGCGGTGGCTGCGTTTAATCTCAGGATTAGTCAGAAGTTCACAGTCTGCCCTGAGCAGATTATTGGCTTCCGAGAAGCTTTTGAAGCAATGAGCAAAGAGGCTCTTTGATAGCGGTAATGGTGTTCAGCTTGTCAGATCACAGGCAGGAGAACAATGATCGGCAGAGGAGGAGAGAGTGCGGCAGTAATAGGCGGGCTGTGGCCACTGCTATGTGCCATGCCGGGAACTTACCGTCATCGGCTCATCAAGAAATGAAAACATGAATGGAGTGCGGAGAAGGTCTGCTGCTCTCATGAAGGGGAACTTACACCTTCCTGTAAGCAGGCTCTTGAAGTGTCCACTGGGGCCAGAGTTGTGGGTGATTATTTAGGGAGGGTAAGGCAGACTCATGGGAGTGTGAAGTGTGGGTAGGAGGTGCTGGACCAAGTTTTACAGAGTAGAGTGAAGTCTTATACTGCAATGTAGAATGACTCTGGCTAGGCTGTTATCAAACATCAAGGGGCCTTACAGGTGCCTTGGGTTAAATCATGGAGGGGTAGGGAAGGGTCCTTACAGGTGCCTTGGGTAAAATCATGGAGGGGTAGGGAAGAGGTCTTACAGGTGCTGGGGGTAAAATCATGGAGGGGTAGGGAAGGGGCCTTACAGGTGCCTTGGGTAAAATCATAGAAGGGTAGGGAAGGGGCCTTACAGGTGCCTTGGGTAAAATCATGGAGGGGTAGGGAAGGGGCCTTACATGTGCCTTGGGTTAAATCATGGAGGGGTAGGCAAGGGGCCTTACAGGTGCCTTGGGTAAAATCCTGGAGGGGTAGGGAAGGAGCCTTACAGGTGCCTTGGGTAAAATCATAGAAGGGTAGGGAAGGGGCCTTACAGGTGCCGGGGGTAAAACCACGGAGGGGTAGGGAAGGGGCCTTACAGGTGCTGGGGGTAAAACCACGGAGGGGTAGGGAAGGGGCCTTACAGGTGCTGGGGGTAAAACCACGGAGGGGTAGGGAAGGGGCCTTACAGGTGCTGGGGGTAAAACCACGGAGGGGTAGGGAAGGGGCCTTACAGGTGCTGGGGGTAAAACCACGGAGGGGTAGGGAAGGGGCCTTACAGGTGCTGGGGGTAAAACCACGGAGGGGTAGGGAAGGGGCCTTACAGGTGCTGGGGGTAAAACCACGGAGGGGTAGGGAAGGGGCCTTACAGGTGCTGGGGGTAAAACCACGGAGGGGTAGGGAAGGGGCCTTACAGGTGCTGGGGGTAAAACCACGGAGGGGTAGGGAAGGGGCCTTACAGGTGCTGGGGGTAAAACCACGGAGGGGTAGGGAAGGGGCCTTACAGGTGCTGGGGGTAAAACCACGGAGGGGTAGGGAAGGGGCCTTACAGGTGCTGGGGGTAAAACCACGGAGGGGTAGGGAAGGGGCCTTACAGGTGCTGGGGGTAAAACCACGGAGGGGTAGGGAAGGGGCCTTACAGGTGCTGGGGGTAAAACCACGGAGGGGTAGGGAAGGGGCCTTACAGGTGCTGGGGGTAAAACCACGGAGGGGTAGGGAAGGGGCCTTACAGGTGCTGGGGGTAAAACCACGGAGGGGTAGGGAAGGGGCCTTACAGGTGCTGGGGGTAAAACCACGGAGGGGTAGGGAAGGGGCCTTACAGGTGCTGGGGGTAAAACCACGGAGGGGTAGGGAAGGGGCCTTACAGGTGCTGGGGGTAAAACCACGGAGGGGTAGGGAAGGGGCCTTACAGGTGCTGGGGGTAAAACCACGGAGGGGTAGGGAAGGGGCCTTACAGGTGCTGGGGGTAAAACCACGGAGGGGTAGGGAAGGGGCCTTACAGGTGCTGGGGGTAAAACCACGGAGGGGTAGGGAAGGGGCCTTACAGGTGCTGGGGGTAAAACCACGGAGGGGTAGGGAAGGGGCCTTACAGGTGCTGGGGGTAAAACCACGGAGGGGTAGGGAAGGGGCCTTACAGGTGCTGGGGGTAAAACCACGGAGGGGTAGGGAAGGGGCCTTACAGGTGCTGGGGGTAAAACCACGGAGGGGTAGGGAAGGGGCCTTACAGGTGCTGGGGGTAAAACCACGGAGGGGTAGGGAAGGGGCCTTACAGGTGCTGGGGGTAAAACCACGGAGGGGTAGGGAAGGGGCCTTACAGGTGCTGGGGGTAAAACCACGGAGGGGTAGGGAAGGGGCCTTACAGGTGCTGGGGGTAAAACCACGGAGGGGTAGGGAAGGGGCCTTACAGGTGCTGGGGGTAAAACCACGGAGGGGTAGGGAAGGGGCCTTACAGGTGCTGGGGGTAAAACCACGGAGGGGGTAGGAAAACAGGAGAACCACAGCAATGGTTTTGCCGTCTGACATTCTTTTTCATGTTGGTAAGCCAATGTACTTAGCGGGCTGTAACCTGCGTCCTTCATCAGGGACCTGAATGGACTGGGGAACGGTGGAGTAACGAGGCTTCTTACTAGAGGTCCGGCTTCAGCAGTCGGTGACACCTTCTCCGTACTAAGAAGCCGGATTCCTCCCGAGTTCCTCAATCCATTTGAATCCACCGTTTCATCAAAGACAGAATCCGAGGCCTTGATGAAGGAGGCACAGGAGACACGTTGGTTTATTAGACGCGATTTCTATGACGAGAGAGATTTTCATATCGCAAATCTATTGCTGTGGTGCGTCTGTCCTCCGACGCCTCATGGTCATGTCATGTGGTGTATAGGGACATAAGGGGATTGTGACGGACTGAACCGTCACTGGGGCTGCTGGAGGAGCCTGGGGGCTAGCCTCCTTCCAACCCCCTCCAATGGGTTCAGGGGTCTCCAGTGACGGGGTTCAGGGATCTCCAATGGCGGGAGTCAGGGGTCTCCAATGGCGGGAGTCAGGGGTCTCCAATGATGGGGTTCAGGGATCTCCAATGACGGGGTTCGGGGGTCCCCAATGGCGGGAGTCAGGGGTCTCCAATGACGGGGTTCAGGGGTCCCCAATGGCGGGAGTCAGGGATCTCCAATGATGGGGCAAACTCATTAGTAATAAGCATGGTTTTACAATGGGACTTCCAACGTGCTCATAAAGCTTTGATGGTCCCTAAGGTATCTCTTGTGACCCATTTCCAACCTCCTCAGCCAGTTAGATGCTGCAGGGCTTGTACCCTGCCACATGAATGCCCCTCTCCTGGGCCCCCAGCATACTGCCCTTCCTCCTGAGCAGTGAGTGTATGAGAAACAAATGCTGTAACCGGTGCGTTCCTGAGGACCCCCACGCACCCCCACCATAGGAGACGGACTGAGGACCCCCACGCACCCCCACCATAGGAGACGGACTGAGGACCCCCACGCACCCCCACCATAGGAGACGGACTGAGGACCCCCACGCACCCCCACCATAAGAAAGCCCCCCCCCAGAGTGTGGAAAGCCCCCCAGCCGTGTGATGAGGAGAAGATGGTTCCCCGGGAGGTGATTTCCTGGATTTGGAGCCCATTCCTCCCGTGCTCAGCATGCGCTGCCATCACACCGTCGTCGTTACAATTGTATGAATAAAGTTCAGTCAGCAAATTCTAGAACCACTGATCTCCGTCCAAGTGTGAACTTTATTGCCTTCCGGAACCAGTGCCAGCACCATCGCCGGGGAGCAGTTACCGGACCCGATTTCTGGATCAATGACGAGTGATTTATGTCAGGATCTAAGGCCGGCTGCCTCGCCCCGCCCCGTCCCTGTGGTAGCCCATCCCCCCTGCTATGTTCCCGCAATGCACTGCGCTGGTGTTGTGTGCTTACCTCCAGGGTAGTACTCGTTCACCGGCCAGTTATCCACTTGTAGGGTCGCGTTGCCTCCATTGCGAGTGTATTTCACCACGTGATATTTACCATCATTCACCGGGGTGCTCTCCTCCCGGATAGAGATGTCCATCATACCGATGTTAAACTTCACGCCCACTTTGCCTTGTTCCTGCGGG